TGTTATGCACAAACAATGAATCATGGAACACTACATCAAAAACTAATGATGTAATGTATGGTGATTAACATAACAATAAAAAAATTATTTAAAAGGTAAAAAAAAAAGAAGGGGCTTACTAATCATGTGAACTAGACAAAATGAAATGGGCTGTTTCGCAAAGACTGAGTCTCCCGTATACAGTGGGCAAGCAAAGGCTAGCTACCTTAGGGGGTTTCAGTAACGGGTAGGAGTTTAAACTGATCATTTTTTAGATTCCGTTCCAAGCCTGAAGTTTTCAGATTCTTTTTCTCCTCCTGTTCTTTTTTTCTCATTTGATTCCCCAGTTTGTGTTCCATTCTTTCCTCCTCAACTTTGCTCTAACCTAGGCTGGAGGGAGGTCCCCCCACACCCTGGCTGATGACATCAGTTCAAAAGAAATGTGTGACCCCTTTCTCTACAGGTCTCTGCCTTGGAGGGGGCAGGGGACTCCACCCAGACCCCTCAGGGGTCAGCATCCAGACGCTCTGCAGCTACTTCTGCAGCATTCACACCCGGTCATCAATGCATCTGGAAGACCGGGTTACAAGTGAAGGGGGTACTCAAAGGAGTGTTTGTGTGCACTTAAAGAGTTCTGATTTTTTTTTTTTTTTGGTTTTTCGACTTCAGTACTGAAATCTTTCTACCATGTGATGTGGAGAGGGAGATATTTATATGAACACACCTGAATAAACCTACGCCTTTGGTAGTTTGCACTAACCTTAGGATAGAATTCAGGGGTCTGTGAACTTAAATGGAAAAGAAATTACGTATTTATTTTCACTAACTTCTAACTGAAATTTATCATTTCCTTCTATTATGAATGTAGACGACAAACCATGATCATATTTAACAGAACCATTATATTTCCACTAATAGAAATAACATTTTCATGTCACAATAACAGTTGGATAATCTTGAAATATCATTTATGCTCATCACTGTTTCAACTTCTGATAGTTATTAGGACCACCATTAGATTTTTCCCTTAATTTGTTAATAAACAGCTTTATTACTATATCAGAATTTTCTTTTCAATAGTTCAATAGCTGTGTTTAAATGTAATTGGTTACCACTGTAATCTTATTTTATTTTATGCATATAGAAGTGTTATTCTCAGAAAGGATTATAGCCTTCACCAGACATCCAAAGGAGTCCATGGCATAAGAACAGTTAAGAACCTCTGCCCAGAACTTTTTTTTCCTCAGGAACCATTTATAGATTATTTTAATAGACATGTTACAAATGTAGCCTACTGGGCCTCTTTCTATATTCAGCAACTGTCCAGTTTTTCACAGAGCAGCATGATTATTTTTTACTGTGGGAACTGAGATGATACAGGAGGCCGCATTATCCTTCGTAAATAAACAATCTGGAGAAAGCATAGGGAAAAGCATTTCTAACTTGGTGATTAATTTAGTGGGAGGAAGAATGTAGATATAATTTTCTAATTTCCATTTTTATTGGGTACTAAATTTTCTCCTTTAAAAAGACATAAAACTGAATAATCCTCGCATTTACAAATCCTGCCCACAAGGAGATAATGCTAACTATGCCTTTAGATAAGATACTCAGCCTCAATAGTTTCCAGGTGATAAGTATTACAAGAGTGAGAAAGGGCATGGTTTTTGATGGCTCAAACTGGCCGGCTGCGAGGTCACATAGCAAGCATACCAGGCAAAGGGTTAACTCCCAGGAACCAAAGCTACACAGACAAGCCATTCATAACCTTCGCTGTTACCAAACAAGATTCACATTAAGTACACTTTAACCACAAGGGGCAAAAGGAAACCAGGCAGTAGCAAAATTTTGAGGCTTATCAGTAAGTAAAGATAAATACATACTCTGTATATCTCAAAATCATGCTTTATGAGCTTTGGAAGAGAATTCTTTTTCTTGATTAGGGCTCTCCCATTGTGTAATTAAAACCAACTTCAGTTCATAAAACGTATCTTCGTCAGGATAATTTATTTTGAAGTGCCATTCCTTCATGTGCTTTTATAAATCCAGGATGATTTTTGGAGTTTCCAATTTAATTGAGTTCTGAGCTTCAGCCCCAAGCCCTTTGCCACAACCAGAGGGCGTGCACATAGAAACATTCCTGCAGGCGTGAAGATTTTGAAGCTACCAGAGGCACTGCCCAATAAATTTAGATTATAATGCCCCTCCTTTTCTCTCCCTTTTCTTCACCTTACAGTTTTACCAAGATGTAAAGGACTGGTGGCTCTTCGGGTTCTATTTCTGCATGCCCTTGGTGTGCACTGCGATCTTCTACACCCTTATGACCTGTGAGATGTTAAACAGAAGGAACGGCAGCTTGAGAATTGCCCTCAGTGAGCACCTTAAACAGGTAAACCTCATAAGCTCGTGAAAATTTGGCCAAGACTGATTTGTCCCAGACAACAGAGAGCCTATATACTGTATTTAGCCGATGTAGCCTGGTTTCCTAAAAATATAGTGTCTTATAACTGTTTTCCTTATAGTTATAATATTAGGAATTTCTTTTTATTTTTAGTTTTATTATTTATTTATTTATTTATTTATTTGACAGAGAGAGACACAGCGAGAGAGGGAACAGAAGCAGGGGGAGTGGGAGAGGGAGAAGCAGGCTTCTCACTGAGCAGGGAGCCTGATGCGGGGCTCGATCCCAGGACCCTGGGATCATGACCTGAGCCAAAGGCAGACGCTTAATGACTGAACCACCCAGGCACCCCAGGAATTTCTTTTGTGAATGTGGAGAGCCTGCCGATAAAACAGGTGGCCCTGGGGGCAGAGCCAAATAGAGAGGAACTATTATTTAGTTTGCCAAGAGTATATTCAACATGTGTTTTGTGTGTCTGTGGATTGAACTGGGCTTGGCACTGTGCCAGGACACAAAGAAGCAGGCTTTGCAGTCTTGGTGCAGAAATAAAATACAAACAATTGGAAAACAGAATCACAAGGTATGTATGGTAGAAGTAGACTGTGTTGTGGGAAGCCAAGGAGGATGTAAGACCAAGTCACAGAGACACTTGTCATAAATGAGGGAGATCGAACTGTTCATAAAGGATTAATGGGTTTGATGGGGAAGGAGAAGACAGAGGGCATTTTAGGTGAGAGGACAAGAGCCCAGTGAGAACATGGTGTGGGCAACATGCATTTGGGGTGTGGGCAAAAGAGATGAACCTCATTAGAGAAACATCTAAGGTAAGACTCATGATAGGATATGGGATTGGGTACAGAAAAAGAGGTCAAATTTTTAAGAGCCCCAAAATTGTACATATCAACAGGAGAATGCTGTTGGACCTCCAGCCCCCACCCCCAGGCAGCAAATAGAACAGATACAGCCATGTCTTTAGAGGGCAAACCTTTACACTTATACTAGCTGGCTCTGTGATGTTGGGCAAATTGCTTACTCTCTCGGAACCTCCAGTTCTTCATAAAATACGTATAATAATACCTGCATCTTACTGTACAAATATCAATTCAGTTTTAAGTCTTAAAAAATTAAATAAAATATATATAATAATACATCAAGGGGATTACCTAATGCATATAGTGTCTAACAGAGCTCAACTCATAATAAGTACCCAGAAAATGTTTGATATATAGTAATTGAAAGAGTAAAAGCAGGACTACAGGTAAGTTCTCAGTCTCAGCAGAGAAGTATGTAAGAACACCCAGCCACACAGACATCGGGGAGGTTATGTGCTGTGGTGAGCACTGTGAATTGTACAAGACTGATGAATCACGGATCTGTACTTCTGAAACAAATAATGCAATATATGTTAAGAAAAAAAAGAAGAAGAAGAAGAAGATAGCAGGAGGGAAAGAATGAAGGGGAGTAAGTCAGAGGGGGAGACGAACCATTAGAGACGATGGACTCTGAAAAACAAACTGAGGGTTCTAGAGGGGAGGGGGGTGGGGGGATGGGTTAGCCTGGTGATGGGTATTAAAGAGGCACTACATCAAAAACTAATGATGTAATGTATGGTGGTTAACATAACAATAAAAAAATTATTAAAAAAAAAAAAAGCTAATGAGTTGTTGATGAAGCCAGTAAATCTGCCCTCTACAATTGCCATACACAAACACCATTCTTCATCAGCGACTCCTTTCCACTACTGTACTGATTTTTCTGAGCTTCAGCTTCTTATCTGTAAATTGGGCATAATAGTATATGAACTGATATCACTACAGAAATCAAAGGAATTAAGTGCATACATGTACTTTGTAAAATCTAACATGCATACAAATGGTAGCTATTATCTTTTAGTAAAATTTAACAGAAAAAGTATATTGAGTATGATTTTTTTCAGGCATGAATGTTTCAAGGGCTCCAGATGGGAAAAATATCAAACAATTCTTGCCTCTCACTGCTGCAGTGGAGGTAATTAATTAGAATAGATTTGTAAAAAGCAAAAAACAAAAACACAGTGTTTTTCAGTGTTGAGTTTTCCATTAGTACCATGATTGAGCCTGTTTAAGCTATGAATGGTACCTGCTCTGAAAATAATTGAATAGGGATTGGTCACGAGGATAATAGGATGCTGCTTCACATTTCCATAGCATTCTTGAAGTTTCCAAAGAGCATGTTATTTGCTTATTTGATTTCTCCAAGCACCCTGTGATATAGGGAGGACAGATGTCCTTATACACTTGTTTTATGAGATTGGCTTATCCAAATGGAGATTAAAACTGAAGTCTTGGTCCTATGAGGCATTGCGTAGTGTCACACCCAAAGCTGTAGCAGGTTCTAACAGCAGGAGAGCAGGCCTGGCTGGAAGGCCTTCCACTGGGACTGTGGGGAGCTAAGCTCACAGTGAAAAGCCCTGCCACCCTTTGACCAGTATCCAGTATATGGCTCTCTGTCATGCTTCCTGCGTGGTTTTCTCGAATTTCTCTTCATTATTCTGACTGCAACTTTTATCAGTTAGGGATTGTGTTTGGATGCTGGTAGCAGAAAACCCAAAATAACATTAAGTAAAACAAGTGAAGGTTTCTTCTTTCTCCCACAGCAAAAAAATGAGATGTCACTGGTTCAGTGCTCAAGGGACTCAGAAGCCAGGGCTCAGCTCTTTTGCTGACTTTTCCTTTAGAAGACAGGAGATACAGCTCTACCCTTATATCAGATTTCCAGGCAGCAAAAAGGGAAAGAATATAGGTCACCTTCATGTGTGCGCATCAGAGGACTAGCCTCCACTTTTTAGTAGCTTTTCCAGAAACCTCACACAACAATTTCTACTTGATCTCCATGGTCAGACTGTGTCGGGTGGCCTTGCAGATGATTAGCCTGAGCTCTCTTGCTGCAGCAACAAAATCAAGGATCTGACTGATAGTAAGGAAAACCGGAGAATAGATACTGGTTAAGCAAATACCAGACTGCCATGGCAACATATTAATATTAGGTTTTGAAGGATTGTCCTCTTTGAGGATGTGCTCAAGGGAGATAACCTCTCCCCCAGTACCCTCCTTTTCTCTTTGTCTGGTCACACTGTCTTTCTGTGTACACAAAAGGACCCTTTAAAATGGGCCCCTATTCCTACAGATTGGAACTCTATTTTCTCAGTTGTTGCTCAGCTTATATGTTCTCTGAAGCCATAGCCCAGCCTCCCACCCAATAACTCTGAAAGATTAAAGAACTCCAGTCCTTTGGGCTAGAGCAGCAATTGGTGACAACTGCCTTGAAATCTTTCTAAATGGCTCTATTAATCATGTGGGTTTATTGTAGGCTTCCCATACTTAATGCTATATGCTTTGGGTTGAACCAGCATTACCCTGCCAAATTCTGTTTTCAATCAATTTTATTTTGACATTAACTGATCCCAGTTACAGACAAGTTGCATTTTATGTTCCTAGTTAGGCTTTCAAATGCATGCATTGTAATACTCAAGCATGATGCACACAAATGTCTGGTTGCAGATAATTCCTAACCTATGATTTTTCTGAACTCTACTGCTACCAGCATCCAAACACAATCTCTTGAACTCTAAAGTATGTAAACCTTCAAACTGAAGTCGGCCCGGGGTCATCATGTCCCAGTCATTCTAATCATCATTGCTGATAATCCTTTACCCTCATCCCTCTGTTTGCAAACAAGAGGTCTCTGGAAGCTACATGTCATTAATAAAAGAATTTTAAAAGCAAAAAAACTCCCAATGCTAGCTTTCTTCAACATCAAGAAATGGAGAAAACACATTGCTAAAAAAATTTTCTCTTCTATTCCCTTCTTCTGTTTTCCAAATATCTTCATAGATTTGTTCGTTTTTTATCATGCTAGGTTCTGTCACCTTGACTGCCATGCTGCCATTAATGCTAGTTAGGCTTTTAGTTAACCCTCCCCCCCATATAGTCACTCACATACGCGCGTGCGTGCACACACACACACACACACGCACTCAGCTCCAGCCAGTTCCCATTTCCCTGACATGGAACTTCTGTCCTGACCCTAATAACCAGCTTGAGGACACCATCCTCCCTGGCAGCTGCCCAAAAGAATCATTAGCAACTCCTTGATTAGAAAGTTGGACTTCAAATCTTGACGAGATGGAGGCACTGGGAGGAGCGCTGTTCTGGCCCTTTTTAAAGTAATTCTTTCTCTGCTATCTACTACTTCCTTTGTGTGGTTCTTTCCTCTAGCAGAAAAACACTAAACTTATTGTACTTTTTCCCCCCTCACTTTCCTTTAGCGTCGAGAAGTGGCAAAAACAGTTTTCTGCTTGGTTGTCATTTTTGCTCTTTGCTGGTTCCCTCTTCACTTGAGCCGCATTTTGAAGAAAACTGTGTACGATGAGATGGACAAGAACCGATGTGAATTACTTAGGTACGGGCCCATGTACTCATTAGGAAATCGGGAGTTTCTCCGATTGTCGTGCTTATAATACTTTTACAAAACCATCTAGTCCACAATCTCGTTAGCCCTGAAAATTAAAACCGCAAAGTTGATTATTTTTCTTTCGCTGACATAGCCCGTGACTGATCCCAGAGTTTGTGCGAGCCATATCTGTAATTTTGCGGCACCCCTCCTGGGGCTGTGCGTCATGGTTTGAGCTAACCAAGTGGCAGGTATATCCGTAAATGTTCTGCAGAACTGAAACTGCCACTTAAACAAGGACTTTAAAAAAATTCTGACTGCCACCTATAAGGAATGGCTCCTGGGCAAGAAAAATGCTTATTCTAGGGATAAATGCTAGTTAGCAGATTGAAAAACATTATTGTCTAATTATTCCATTTTCTTCTGTTCTAGTTTCTTGCTACTCATGGATTACATCGGCATTAACTTGGCAACCATGAATTCATGTATAAACCCCATAGCTCTATACTTTGTGAGCAAGAAATTTAAGAATTGTTTCCAGGTAAGACTGTTTTACATATATCTTTTTAAGGACAACCAAAGGAGTACATGAAGTAGCCAACAATCATGGCTAATTTCCAGTAGAGAAGTGAAAATCCTGTTTTGCCCAGACAGAGGGTCAGATTGTCAGCATAAAGCAATATTGTCAGAAAAATTATCCGAAAAGTAATACCAATTCAGACAACAAAATATTCAGGGGTTCAAATAAAAAGAACTAACTTAATAACATGTTAATTTTGTATGCTGCTTTATAAAGAAATGCTCAACTGTGAGCTCTAGGCTCCAGAAAATACACACAACCTAGTCATGCCTCACATTATCTTAGATGTTAACCACACCCTCAACAAAACATGAAATCTGCTGCTAAAAAAGTTCTTGCTAAATAATAGGATATTTAATAATAGCCTCTTCAAGAAAAGGAAATGCTTATTGCCCTAGCAATCTGAACTAATGTAATTTCATTTGAAATCAGTTTCCTTCTGTTCTTCAAACTTCCTTGCAGCTAAGCCAATCCATGTCTTCCAGAAGCTCCATGTACTTCTTCCTGAAGTATCATCTCGCCAGTTCCTGGGACAATTTAGCATGGCATTAATCCTAACTGGATTTTGTTATCTTTGGCCAGGATGTGTCACTTCAGTTTATGGCACATATTAGGAAGAGTAGTGTAGAGGTCAAGGGTGCAGGATCTGGAAGCAAGCAATCTTGATTTACATCACAGCTCTGTACTTGCTGTCTAATCCAGGTCCAGGTGGTACCCCTCCTGCCTCCTCAGTTTGATCATCTGTAAAATCAGATGATCACTGTATCTATCTCATAGGTAGGATTCAGTGGGTTAATATATGTTAAGCACTTGGGACAATAATAAGCTCTCAGTAGGAGTTTATTATTAGGGATAGAGAAGAGAGGAAAAACCCCATGACTTCCCTCATGGAATGGACCATCTAGGAGATAGACATACCAAAGAATCTTACAAACAGGTGAATCTTGGTATAGAAGTTCTAGCTGCTACCTTTTTGAAGTCTACTTGATAATGTTTACAAGTCATGCAGTGCTGTAAGAAAGATTCTGCCCAAGGAAGGATTGACTAAAATGCTGGTCATAATTAATCCATCATATAATCTGAAATTAATATCATTTTAATTAATTTACATATTAATTAGAGGGGAAGGGAAAATCAAGGTACAAACTCAGAAATTAAACCTACCTGTTGACTGATCTTCATACAGAGGCAGCATATGCAGGAGAAAGAGCTTAATCTAGAGAGTCCTGGGTTCTAATTCCAGTTCTGCCTATTTCCCCTCTAAGCCTCCCTGTCCTCATTAATACAGTGGGGAAAATAGCACCTACCACCTAAGGCTGTGAGGAGCATCACATGAGGTGCCCAAAGCAGAGAGCCATGCAGGTGATGCACTCTGTAGAAATGCCAGGCGCCTCCAGACCCTTCTCCAACCATGCCCACCCCAAGTCATAGGACATGCTCCCTTGGGCCAACACTGCCTTCCCTTCCACTTTGATTTGGTAAATCACTAAAACAAGAAACAGGGGATCTATTTTCTCTTCACTAGAATGGACAGTTGAACTTCTACCTAGAGATTACAGGCTCCATGCTCTAGATTACTGTTCAGGCTCACATTCTGTCCTCACATTTTTTGGTAGGAGCCCAAGGCTTCTGTGTTCTGCTGGGAATGGGTTGGTAGGCTCGTTTATTAAGAATCTCTTCCTTCCCCCAGTCTTGCCTCTGCTGTTGCTGTTACCAGTCCAAAAGTCTGATGACCTCAGTCCCCATGAATGGAACAAGCATACAATGGAAGAACCATGAACAAAACAACCACAACACAGAGCGGAGCAGCCATAAGGACAGTATTAACTAAACATCTTAAGAGATATTAATCAATAATCCTTCAAATTCTATTGGAGACAAAAAAAAAAACACACAGCAACTGTGTTTCCAGAAATCTTTTCTCCAATCCTTCTCCCGTGACTCAGCCCCAAACCCAGAAAAATGCTTTCCAAAACATCGGAGGGTAGACTGGTTATGGTCACAAATTCAATGAATCTTACTTCTTTAATTTATCTAATTTACATATTCTGCATGTTATATTCCGCACTAAAAAAATGGTGGGAGTTGGCAGGGGGAAAGGAGACTGTTCAACTAAATCAGAGGGATAAAAAAAACTTTTGCATGAAAATAGAGTCTTCCAGTACATAACAGCTTCCCTGGCAGTTCTGTGGAATGTCCAGTGAGAACTGGTTACAGTGAAAATTTAGCGATTATGACAAGATTTTCTATTTTTTTGAATTGGCCAGACACAGTAAGGTGAGCAATCAGGTTAATGCTTTTCATGTCACTTTTTTATTTTTTAAAACATCAGTTCTCAAGCTGCAGCAGATATAGGCACTTAAAGCCCAGACTGATATCCACATGTGGCAGTGTAATAGCCGCTATTCAAAGAATTTTTAAGAACCTGTATTTTCTTTTGTAATGGTGTTTCATTACAGGAGATCTGGAGCATATTTTTATGTTAAATTTTAAAATAATGCTTGAATCAAATAGTTCTATTTTTCACAAGCCCAATCTTTTTTACTGTAGATATTTTATGTAAAATCAGTATCATGTACCAAAATTTAAATGTGTGTATCATTCAACCATACCTAAGACTTTCAGTGGAATGTATTGATGTCTAAAGCACAACTAGTAGAAAAAGACTGAATGTTTTTAGAAGACTTGGAAATTTTCATTGAAGGGATTTTTTTTTGGTAATAGTAACATGTATGTGTGTATTTGGTAATAGCAACATGTATGTGTTTTTTTTTACATATATGTACACATACATATATGTTTTACATATCACCTCATAGTCTCTTGATTTCTCTAAAAATGTTAACTGTCGGTAAGACTTTTTTGGTCATTCCCTTTTCCATATAAGAAACCATTTAAAGTGGCCAGCTGAGTTTATCATGTCAGTGAAATATAATTACCCCCAAATGCCACCATGAACTTACAGTTCTTCATTTCTCTGGGTTTCCAGTACGAATCTAAACACCTCCCCCACCCCCACTTCTCACATGGTCACCATTTCAAAGGGCCCACAGTGACTTTTGCTGGGCATGTTCCAAGATGTTTACAGACTGTGAGTACAGCAGAAAATGTGTATATAAATATATATAAACAACTGTACATTTCTTTTAGCCAATTTTTCTGTGATTGTCTTTATGGAATGTACTTGTGTGTGTGACATATGCACGTGTGTGATGGTATGTATGAATTTAATGTAATCTAATAATACTGCCCTGTAGTCGTACCACAGGACACACTCTGAGTGGAATCTAAGTGGTTGCTCATCATGACCATTGGCTTTAGTCAGTTTTAATCTATCTGTGTTCATAATTCTTGTGAACATGTCACCATTACAAATGGAATATGGGAGGCAACATGAATGGGGATGAATCATGGGTTAACAATAGTGTTTGTTTAGCTGGTTGGTGGGTTGGTTTGATAAAACAGCATTTGAGATTGTACTTTTTCCTGTGCTAGAGCGAAAGTCATTAAATATTGAAGTATTATATTGTCCTGGTTCCTCAACTCAGTATGCTGATGAAACTGACAAGAGGTCTGATGTTTCCCATCAGACTTCACCAGACAGACTGCTGATGATAAATTAACTAAGCTGACTTGTTGGGCTATATTTTAGCATAGTCATGTATAAAATGATATCAGGTTCCAGTTGATCCAATCACAGGGCTCCTTTATGTGTTAGCAGTCAAATTCCATAACTTACTGGTACATCACATGCAGTGATATATACCTGTAATATAAGCCATAGTTCACAGCATTTTGTTTAGACGATTGTCTTCTTTTTTAAGATGTTTTCTCTCTTGCATATGAAAAAATACATTTCATAAGTTCAGAAAGTCATAGATTTCTGAATAACACACAGGCTTCAATGTGCATTTTGTTTATGGACCAGTAAGTAGCCATGGTTTACTAGAAGGAATATTTCCAATTTCTACCTTTATCACACCTTTCCAAGTAAATCTGTAGAAATGAGCCAGAAGCCAAGGCCCCTGCATTGGCAGTGGCCCATAGTATAAAATAAAAGTTTACAGAAGCCTGCAAGCGTCTCTTCATTTCTATATAGTTCTATACAGAAAATGTTGATTACATGATATCTATTGCTAACATCTCCCTACTAATAGCCCAGCAAGCAATTTTACTTTCAAACAGATATTTCCTAACTATATCCTATTTGCAACCTACTTTGTCATACGGAACACTTAACTCTTTCATCCATTCCTTCATTCACCTTTCCAGTATATTTTACTAAGGATCTACTTTACCCCAGTCATTTTTCTAGGTATTGGGGACATAGTGGTGAACAAAACAGGCAGAGTTCCTGCTCTCGTGGAGCTGGCATTCTAGAGGAGGGAGTTGGACAATAAACAGTGCATCAAGTGGATACCTGGATGAGGAGACTCACATATATCCAAGTACTTATTTGACATCTTCACTTGAATGGCTAACAGACATACTATATGTAAAACTAAGCTACTCATAGCTCTCTAATCTGTGCTGCCCTAATATTCCTCTGCTCATGTATTAGTCAGGGTTCTCCAGAGAAACAGAAGCAATAGGACATATAGATAGATAGATAGATGATAGATAGATAGATAGATAGATAGATAGATAGATAGATAGATAGATAGATAGATGATGATAGATAGATAGATAGATAGATAGATAGATAGATAAATTCATTATGGGAATTGGCTCACATGATTTTACGGAGGCTGAAATATGCCATGATCTGCCATCTACAAGCTGGAGAACCAGGAAAGCCAGTGATATAATTCAGTCCAAGTGCAAAGGCCTGAAGAAAACAGGGGAGCCGATGGTATAACTCCCAGTCTGAGGCCTAGGCCTGGGAACCATGGAGCAGCCTGCTGGTAGAGGTCCCAGAGTCCAAAGGCCCAGGAACCAGGAGCACCGAAGTCCAAGGGCAGGAGAAGATGGATGTTCCATGTCAAGAAAAGACAGAGAATTCACCCTTCCTCTGCCCTTTTGTTCTTTGCAGGCCCTCTACAGATAGATGATGCCTGCCCACACTGGTGAGAGCAGATTTGCTTTACTCAGCCTCCTGATTCAAATGTTAATCTCTTCTGGAAATACCCTCACAGGCATACCCAGAAGTAATTATCTTACTAGCTTTCTGGGTGTCTCTTGGCCCAGTCAAGTTGACATATAACGTTAACCGTCACAGCTTTGTTAAAGACAGCTCCATCCTTTGAGCTGTCAGGATAAAAACCTTGAAGTCATTGCCCATTCTTTCTCTGATATCTTACACTCAATGCCTCAATACATGCTGACAGCCCTATCTTCAAAATATATTCTTGGGGCACCTGGGTGGCTCAGTCGGTTAAGTGGCTGCCTTCAGCTCAGGTCATGATCTCGGGGGCCTGCTCAGCAGGGAGTCTGCTTCTCCCTCTCCCTCTGCCTCTCCCCCCGCAGCCCAGCTTGTGCTTTCTCTCACTCTCTCTCTCAAATAAATAAATAAAATCTTAAATATATATATATAATATACATATATATTCATTCCTAATTTGACCACTTCTCTCTCTCTGCCTCTACCTCCCTTTTCTGAGCCACCAACGCCTCTTGCCAGAAAAACTACAATAGGCTCCTATCATGCCTACTTGTTTCCAGCCTTGTAAACATTATACCCTAATTGGAGCCTGTCTCTTGACCCCCATAAATGGTCTAAAGGTATTCACATTTCCAAGCTAACTTGACCAGCATCCCCTGGGGAATTTTCCAGTAACAACTAAAGTAGGAAAGAGCCCTTTCCCACTGTGGCACACATAGTAGGTCATGAGCCTGGGAGCTGCTGGCCACCATGCCTTGGGCATTATGAGGAAAGTCAGCCTAGAGTGTTACAAAGATGGGAGAGGGCATAGAAGTTCCTGGTGCCAGTTTTCCCTGATGCATTCCCATGGCTTGAGCAAACCAACATATTTACCTTTGTGACTACGCTAATTACATTTGGGTTTTTGTTGCTTACGATACATACATTCTAAGAACATCTCATCTAAATTATCTTGATTTGGGGCACCTGGGTGGCTCAGTTGGTTGGGCGACTGCCTTCGGCTCAGGTCATGATCCTGGAGTCCCGGGATCGAGTCCCGCATCGGGCTCCCTGCTCGGCAGGGAGTCTGCTTCTCCCTCTGACCCTCTTCCCTCTCGTGCTCTCTATCTCTCATTCTCTCTCTCTCAAATAAATAAATAAAATCTTTAATATATATATATATAAATTATCTTGATTTGTTTTTTCTTATTGCTTAAATTCAGAGGCTTTATGTTTTTTAGAGTTTTAGAGCGGATTGGAAAGTACAGACAATTCCCACTTGCCCTCTTTTCCCCTTTCCCTCCAAAGAGTTTTCCAAGGGCTCCCGGGTGGCTTAGTCGGTTAAGCATCTGCCTTCGGCTCAGGTCATTATCTCAGGGTCCTGGGATCGAGCCCTGCATCACGTCGGGCTCCCTGCTTAGCGAGAGCCTGCTGCTCCCCCAGCTTGTGCTCGCTCACACGTGGTATCTCTCTCTTTCGCTCTCAAATAAATAAAATCTTAAAAAACAAAGAGTTCTCCCTATTATTTCATTTTGTGTTAGCGTGGTATACTTGATGAGCCAATATTTATACAATATTATTAAATAGTTTACATTGGGGTCCACTATATTATACATTGCAGGGATTTTGATAAATGTGTAGTTATCCACCATGATAGGATCATTCAGAATAGTTTCACTGCCCTAAAAATCCCCTATGCTCTACCTTTTCTTCCCTCCTTCATTCTCCCCCTTGATTTATCTTTTCACCCAATACAAATGTAGTGAACACCCTCCATTATTACGCTGTGCGAGTTGCCGGGAATATGAAACCAGATGTATAAATAAATAAATGCACTAAAGTCCTTAGTGATGACTCAGTAGATGTCAGCATCAGGGCCAGTAAAGGCACAAAGACAAAGTAGTCAAAATTCTTTAAACTTCAGCTGGTGACATTAGTGAACAAACACATTAGTGAACAAAAGTGTGAGGGTTCTTGCTTCTATGATTCTTATTTTAATGTAAAAATGTATCACTGCCAGGAGAATGGCATAATAAAAAGCAATAGACTAGTGTCTGTACATTATGAGCTTTTTTAAGCCTGTAAATACATGTTATTCTCCATTCAAAAATAAACCTAATATCGGTGCATTTAAAATTATTAAGGTAATAAAACAAACTGGAGATTAAGTCCAGGAAAGAGCCAAGACAAATATGAATCTTTTGCTAGTCTATTATCTCTATCATTATTTTTAATAGTATTACTAGTCCATAATATAGTATTAAACAATATATAGGTGTGGAGTGAAGAAAATGCACTACCATTATTCCCAAACCTCTCCAGGCCTGAAATTCTGAGACTACGATTACTTCATTTATAACAGAATCTAGTAGAGCACTCTATTGATTGATTTTTCTCCATACCTCAAATAAGCAAAGTTAAATCAAAACACAAGTCCACCATATGCAGTTGTCTCTGAAATTCCAGTGGGGTCTTCATATTGAAAACTGCCCCATGTTTCTGTTTGTTTTTTTAATAAATCTTACATTTGGAGAAGCTTCTGTCACACTTTCCTCTAAGTACTTTTTCCTTATTGCTTAAATTCAGAGGCTTTATGTCTTTTAGAGACTGGTTTGTCTCTTTATGTCTATATGTTTGTCTCTTTATATTTTTTAGAGACTGGCTTTTTACAGACACTGGTTTGTCTATATTTGGTCAGCACTGACACTTTGACTTTTTTGTTTCTAAAACTGAAAGGAGAAAGCACAGTTCTTAGAACCAGGGAATAATTAAGAACCAAAAATAACATTATAACTGCAAAGCTGGGCTTTCCCCCTGAAGCAAACTAGCATGGATCACTTTTGATTTGATGAAGCCAGAAGTCCTAATATCTCACGGTTTCCCAAGCTTTTGGCATCAGTATTATTCAGTAGATTTCCTTGCTTCTTCCTGGGAGGTAATAAATTAGGAATGGCATTGCCAAACCTAGCTATAATAAGAAGAGTCATGGAATCTCCTGAGGGAATATAGAGTATTCCACAAATTTTTCCTTTCTGGCCTTAAACCACAGTCCTCTTTCCTAATTTATCTACA